TTTTCAATTTTTTTTCAGTCACTCTATTAAATCGAGAAAATTATTATGTGACGGTAGTACCAAGTAATGTGATTGAAATTTATATCTTAAGATACAATTTTGTTGACTGCACAATATCTAAATGTCACATAACGTTACAGTTATACAAAATATTTTCTCGACAAATGCATCCGCATATATACCAGGTCTCTCTATTTATCTCAATCCTTAAACCTAATCAACTATATCCTTGTCAATTATTTTACACACTTTACGATATTGACATAGAAATTAATCAAATAGGTTTTTGTCGTCCATGATGCTTACACCTCAATAAGACAGTGTGCTTGCCATTTCCTTTTCCTAGTGGTTTGTCAAAATCAACCACAGATGAGGATTTGTATATTCTAAATGGACCCCTTCTTAGCATTAGCCACCGAAAGGATTGTTAACACTTAATTTGCATTGACCCAAAAGTTCTTAAAGTATAATTAGTTCGTTTTGGATCGTTGGCCTGGTTTTAAACTTTTGTGTTGTTTTTTCTTGACTTTGGTTAGTTAGGTATTTTGTCATGGTGCACAAGGGAAGGGACGTGTCGTCGGTTCGAGTTTGACCTCAAGTAATTTGCGAATTAATTAATGTAAATCAAGTGGGTTTTCTTCATGGAAACCAATTGATTATAGGCTCAAACTGACTTGATCCAACCCAACCTTTTATTTTGGGCTAGGTTGAGGGTTTACACTTTGAGTTTTAAACCCAATTTATTGACTTCTAAGCCCAATATGTATTTGTTTTTCTAATAAAAAAATGGTTTATTCTTTTTTGGGTTGAAGTGGAAAATTGTTTTAAAACGAGCAATACAACATTAGAGGTCTTGGAGAGGAAGAGGAAGGAGAAAGTATGGCTTCCTCAATACTTGTCATATATAGTCTGGCATATAGGCACCCCCCACTGAGGGTAGTGCAAATGGCGCTACCTCACAGACCCCCAATTTTTGAAGGCCCCTGAAAATATTTAACTTGTATATTATATATGTTAATATTATAAACATTTTATATATATTTCAACGCACAGCACAATGACACAAGCATGTGTTTGGCTGGTTTGGTTTCAAGTGCATTTCTCTTCATTTAAGGCCTTTTCAGGTAGAAATAAAGTCCTTGGGTGTGCATTTTTATTCTTTACAAACTTTTTTTTTTCTTTGTAAAAACATTTATATATATATAATCCATCAATATATATACCCTCACGCTTTCACCTCCAATCAACACCAAAAGTATAAAAAATAAAAATAAAAAAAAAGGTTAATCATCATCATCATTCATCAATCTCTCTTTGGCTCCTTTGTTAATCCTTTGAGAATTTTTGTTTTTATTTCAAATTCAGGAATTTCAACACCAAAACATGAATATCCTAATTCCTAAATTCATAAAGACCACTCAAAATTTGTGCCATTGTTGATGATGAATTTTAGTTATATAAAAATAATTGTTTTATAACATTAAATTATGAAATATTATTATTTTTACTATTTGCGTATTAAATTATATGAGGGTCTCAGTTTAAATTTCGTATAGAGTCCTCAAAATCTAAGAACTTGTCCTGCCCCACCCAATTAAGCTTTGAGGCATTTTCATTTCTCATGTACATCGATCGATCTCGTGATAACAATGACCCATAACCTTAGAGTTGTTGCTAATAGAAACCTTGACCTAGTTATTTCGGCAAGAAATACCCTCCAGCATGAATTGTTAGTGATGATTAACAACCTCATTTTCTAATGAAACCTTTCCATCATTTGTACATAAAAAAAAGGTATTATTATAATTTATAACAAGAACTCTTACCTACTACCATCCCTCAGCTGGCACTAGTTGTTATTAATTAGTTTCAGCTAACCACTTGCTTAATTATGACTTAATTAACTATCTCAATGTACATTGGATGCTCAAGGTGATTAATATTAGTTTAATGTGTTTTAATCACAAATCTATTTTTTAACTAATTCATATTTTTATAACCTTTTCCTAACACAAAGATTTGACTCAAATTGGTTTGATGCTATCTACCATCGACGGGACAGTTAATTTTTAGCTAGAGTTAAGACAGATTATAAAGTGTGAATTAAGAATTTGTGTTAAAAAAAGGATTTCTAGCAGTAATCAAGTAATTACTTTCGACGAATTTACTGTTGAGTCTTCGTTTAACGAATGTGCCTCTTTGCTTTGTGAAGGTAAATCTGAAATTAATTAGGTTTACGGTTGAGATTAATTCAACGATGCCTTTTTGACCCTGGGAACATGTTAAATTACAAAGAAAATGATATATTCGTGCTTGAGCGTTTCTGTACATGCATTTTAACACGCAAAAGAGGTGATGGATTTGGAAAGTTTGAGAGAGGGAGAGTCTTTGCACCATATCAAACCCACTTTGGCGTGAAGTTTTGGCCAAACCACTAATCATATCCCAAAGGGGAAAAACTGTCGGCTCAAGATTATTTTGATTGTTTTCTAATATTTTTCATACAGAGCAATGTTAAAGGAGGGGGAATCGAATTTAGATTTAGGATACAGGGATAAGAAAATATTGAAAGATATCTCGAGCTACAAGCCCCTTACGATTATTTCTAATATTGAAAGATATCTCGAATTCGATTTTCTCAATTTTTTATTCATAAGAAATTGTCTCAAGTACACACTAGAGTGGTTGAGGGGGTTTTCTTTGGTGGAGGAAGTAAATGGGGGGTTTGGGTTACATTTTTTATTTATTAATTTCATATTTGGAGGTACAAAACAACAACAACAAAATAATTTGACTCATTAATGCATGAATGAAGAAAACAATTAAAAAAAAACACCAAGGACATATGGATAATGTTAAACTAAAAGGAAATAAATTATGATATGGAAGTTGAGGGATCAATTAATTAGGTGGATCTTTGACTTCCATTATTCAATCACGATTGGAGAAACAGAAAGGTTAAAAGTTCGTTGGGCATAAATTATAAGTTGCATTGCAAGTGCAACTATTGTTGTTGGGTTCCCTGTAAAAAAAGAAAAATTAAAAAATTAACGGTTTTTTCATCCGCAACAGACTTCCTAAACCACCTTCTTAGATAAAATTTTAAACACTCATTAAACACACAAGGTTGGTATACACAATATTTTTTAAAATATTTAATCACATATTATATCGTACTTAAATTAATTATAAAAGTATATATGATTGTATCTGTTATGAAATTAGAATCATGTGTGTGACATAAAATGTCACATGATTCTATCAAGTGTCAATAATCCGTATTATAGATTAAGGGCCGGTCAGGAGTAAATTAACAAATATACAAGCTTGACCTCTTCTTATTGATTAATAACTGTACCAAAAGCCAAGTCTTGCAACAAGGTTATATATATACGTTATTAGGGGAGCTTCAATTCACGGATCTTTGCAGTGCTTACTTCGTTTTATATTCAATAATCCGAATTATCTATTTTTCATGTATTCCCTTAAAGATATCACTTCAAAAAATCTCAATTTAATTAGAAATTATTTAACGACTCAATTAATAGTTATCATTTTAGTTTTTTCTTGAAATATCGATTAAATTTACATTATGGGTTCCAAATTATTTAGTTGAAATGAATGGTTTGAATATAAAGTGAGCCGACAAATAATTATTTAAGAGATGCCTACATAGAAAAGAGGTAGATGATACAGCTGCGTCGTGGAAAATGTGTACTCCACTTCCATGATGAACAATGGACATCATCTTCACACGTGTGCCATACGCAGCTGTGTGTTCGTGAGAGACTGAGTCCAAAAGCAGGTGAGGTGGAGATCGATATCTGTATGTTTGGTTAATTTCATCTAGGCGCGTTTGATGCACTCTATTATTGCCAATTTTAATCAATTAAACTTAATTAAACACATCAATTATTCTTTCATGCCTACTTCGTTTTATATTCAATAATTCGAATTATCTATTTTTCATGTATTCCCTTAAAGATATCACTTCAAAAAATCTCCACTTTAATTAGAAATTATTTAACGACTCAATTAATAGTTATCATTTTAGTTTTTTCTTGAAATATCGATTAAATTTACATTATGGGTTCCAAATTATTTAGTTGAAATGAATGGTTTGAATATAAAGTGAGCCGACAAATAATTATTTAAGAGATGCCTACATAGAAAAGAGGTAGATGATACAGCTGCGTCGTGGAAAATGTGTACTCCACTTCCATGATGAACAATGGACATCATCTTCACACGTGTGCCATACGCAGCTGTGTGTTTGTGAGAGACTGAGTCCAAAAGCAGGTGAGGTGGAGATCGATATCTGTATGTTTGGTTAATTTCATCTAGGCGCGTTTGATGCACTATATTATTGCCAATTTTAATCAATTAAACTTAATTAAACACATCAATTATTCTTTCTTTTTTTTCGGAAATCAGCATCATCAATTCTTCTTATATTCCCACGAAAGAATAATGTACCTGCATTATTCAATACACTGATTAATCATATATTTTTTATAGATGAGACCCAAGGATATTTACCGCAGACAGCAGTGACTAATTCCTTTCGCCGCGGGAGCTCTTCCAATGGAGATAAACGGTTGGCCATGAAATGCGCTCCATTCCCATAGGCTAATCATATATTTCAAGGCAGAACAAGTACATCAATTCATTCATATTATTACATGAATTCTTAGTAATTATATTATGAATTATATGAACGTCGATATGTGTATTATGTTGGGCATCAAATCCATCTTAAACATATGAACAAATGGGGGAAAAAATTCATTTTGGATTTAACAATATGTACAAGAGGCGTAGGGCATCGGCAAAGGTTATAGGAAAAAAATCCAAAGTTCCAATTGAGAGTTGCAACGAACTGATCGGATTCAAGTACAAATTCGTCTCATGTAAGAAAATACAAATCTGTTCACCACGCGCCCATGACAAGTGTGGGCATGATCTAAAGATTCTAATTAGGCTTTTGGTTATAATGTTGCTATCTCCCTCTCTCTCTCTTTACCAATTGCCATTCCACCTTGCATCAACCCTCTCTCTCTCTCTCTCTTTCTGAACCAAGCCAGCTTTATCTACTCTCCCAAATACAAAAGCAAACACTTTTGTCCCTTCCTTTCTCTCTCAAAAAAAAATTATCAAACACCTTCTCCCTCTCTCTCTCTCCTACACAAACACCATGGCAGACAGAGTCTATCCTACAGCGAAACCGGCTACCTCGGCCCCCGCCACAGCAGCCAACCCCGCCTTCCCCGCCACTAAGGCCCAACTCTACAGCAACACGCGCCCAGCCTACCGCCCCCAACCCCACCACCGCCGCCGCAGCCGAAGCCGCTGCTGCTCCTGCTGCCTCTGGATCATCTTCCTCATCCTCCTCCAGCTCGTCATCGCCGCCGCCCTCGGCGCCGCCTTCTACATCTTCTACCGCCCCCACCGCCCCTCCTTCTCCGTCACCTCCCTCAAGGTCCAAACTCTAAACTTCATCACCAACTCCCACCTCACCTCCAGCTTCAACCTGAACATCACCGCTCGAAACCGTAACAAGAAACTCGTGTTCATCTACAACCCCATGGCCATCTCCATCTTATCCAACGACGTCGACATCGGCGACGGAATCATACCTTCCTTTGTGCATGGGAAGAAGAACACGACGCTGTTGAAGACAAAGATCGCGAGCAGCGGGAAAGAGCTTCAGAGCAGTGAAGTGAGTACTTTGAAGGCTGACATTAAGAGCAAAAGTGGGCTGCCATTGAAGGTCAGGTTGGACACTAAAGTGAGATTGAAGGTGCTTGGGCTGAAGACTCCAAGAATTGGAATTAGGGTTAACTGTGAGGGGATTAGGGTTACTTCTCTTCCAACTGCTAAAGCTCCTGCCACTGCTTCTACTTCTAACGCTAAGTGTAAGGTTGACGTTAGAGTCAAGATCTGGAAATGGACCGTGTGAGGGGAAATTGAATTTGCAAAATTAAAGAAAGAAAAGGAAAAGAAAAAAAGGTGTGTGATATATATATATATATATATATATATATATATTTGTTTTCTTTCAAAGATATTAAAGTGGTTAGTTGTTTGATTGAAACCTTCGTGAATTTGGTGGTTAGTTGTTTGATTGAAACCTTCTTCGGGTGAGGGGTGGTTTTGAGCTGTTCACCTTGACCTTAGGCGACAAAGCACGCCCCTTAACCTCGGGTTAGTAGAGTCCCCAAGTTCCAACCACAAACGGTAGGTAACAAACTAGAAAAGAGAAAGGAAATTAATTTAAAACTCAACTCCTTTTTCATTTTTTTCAATCTCGCATAATCGCATTAGGCCAGATCTTTATATTTGGATTCTTTCGTGGGTAAAATATATATTCAGAAAAATAAAATTGGGTTTTACATACAGTAGTTTACAAAAATGAAATAAAAAGATGGAAACAAGTTTTGTTTTTTTTTCAGCTGTGGGCATTATTTTGCATTTTCATGTCAGTTATGCCAGGAAAAATAAGCAATTTAGTTCAGTTTGTATTTAAGTTTGTGTAATGTGTAAGTAAAAATTTAATATTTGTGTCGGTGGGCGCGGCTTCAATAATTGAAGTTGAATTTTAAAGTTTGAACAGTGAGGAGGGCCCCCCAAAAGTATTTTTCTAGTAAAAGGAAGTGTTTTGGCCTGCAATGCATGTGTTTGGAAACATGGAAAGCACTTCCTCTGCTACCAATGACAGAATAGCATGTGCTACAAATATGTCATGATTGTTTCATCATTCATGGTTAGCAACTTAGCCCTGATAAATACTTGAAGAAAATCAATTGATGTAACAACTTCTTATTTATTCATAATGAATAAGGTCGAGAAAGAACGTAGAATGAAAACAAATGAAACACTGTCATATCAATTGGTTCAAACGCACGAAGTCAAAATCAATAGCAAATTCTCTTAGTGGGTATAACCTACTAAGCACTTTGTTGACTAATTTTCACTACCCATAAAGAATCCCATCATTCGTGCATTTTCATCCGAAGTTTTTATTCGTTTATCATCTCAACTGATCATTTAGTGTATCGTACAATTCTTTTTTATTGGATGGAAGATTCACTTGTCTATAGAATCCACATTCACAGGACCCGTTTTGAGATTGTAGAAAGACTACATTACAAGCGATGTTTATGACCACTAGATATAATAAAGCTAGTGTTTGGTGACGGATGTTAATAATAATTGTTATCTTTTGATTTGTGATGTGCAAGAAGAAGCATTATCGCCACTAATTATAAAGTGCTTTATCTTATCAAACTTGGCATACAAATGAATATCTAACCTCGCACCATTTCCTTTTTTCTTTTTCTTTTTTTAATATATATATATTTTTTTGTGAGGGTATGAAAGATGAAATTTCATAACAACCAGGCAAAAAAGGTTTAGGAAAAATACAAGGCCCACAAAACAGCAAGACACAAACGTATGACAAAGCATAATAACAACACTACTACTAGAAAGAGGACAACTAAAGAAGACGTAGTCATAGAGACGGCGATTCTTCTTCTTGGGATGCCACCATTTCTCGTTTAATTTATGTGTGCAGCTTGCACTTCACTTTTGGTTGTTGCTAAGGGTACATCGGCTTTATTTATATGACGAGCCTATTCAATCAACAGTCTGATAATATAACGAATTGAATTATATATGATTACCAAGTGTCACCATAATTTATGGTTAAATTTTTAATAAAAGTACAATGATCTTATATGTAGTGAATGTTGAGTATGGTGATAAATCTAAATTTTTTTGGTTGTGATGTGACTATAACATGTTTATATTTATCGATACTTTATAAACTCGTCATCTGTCCATAGTATAACACATAAATTGATAACACCAAACGAAGACTTACTACCATACAATAATTTCTCTTGATGATGATACATTAACATTACGAAAAGAAAAAAAAAAATACGAAAGACCATTGGTCATAAATCTAAAGAGGCCCAATATGCTTAAGAGGCTCAAATATCTTAAGTGCAAGTCCAAACCCAAATTTATTCATCCTAAAAGTCTAAAACCCTACTAAAGCCCCTGACTTTCAAACCCAAAACACTGTTTTTCTTTGCAGACGCTTATCACTCTCATCAGTGTCTCTGTGAGTGCAATTCCGGCCATGTATCGAATAGCTTCAAAATTAGCGTCTTCCGTCGCTTCTACTACTTCCAGGAAATTGGTAGCTACTAACTTTCTATTCTTTTTTGCTCACAAATTCCATTTTCATTCATGGCATTTCAAACTATTTTGCTTTACATTTCTTCTTTCTTAAAACTCTTCAGGGAAAGTTTGCGGAAAAGGGAATGTTGCATTTTTAGTGTTCATGCTATTCTTTGGTTTCTGAGAAATGAAACATGAACTTAGTTTCGCACTGTCATATGATAACAAGCTCAATAGGACCACAAAGTTTGTAAATTTAGTTTGGTTTCTTTTCCTGCATTTTCTTAAAAACCAAACGGAGCATATGGTTATATTTGAAGGATCATAATTTGATTGATTCATTAAGTTGGATGATTTAATATGAAAGATTCCAAGGTTTCTGAAATTTCTTTATTGAATATTTTTTGTTCATCAGTGCATTGCTGACTGATGGTTATGATCTTTTTTCTTTTGTTGGTTGTTGATGTGATTTGGAAAGGTATGTAGTAGGGTTATATGTAATAGGAATTATGTGGCAAAAGATATCAGTTTCGGGGTTGGGGCTCGCGCCGCTTTGTTGCAAGGTGTCTCTGAGGTGGCGGAGGCTGTCAAAGTTACAATGGGACCAAAGGTAATGGATTAATATTCTTGCATTTCTATCTAGGTTTGTTTTTTTGTCATACTTCATTAATATAATTTCCCTCGGTGGAGCTCAATGTGTAATGGACATTTCTTTACTAGTATAAATATAAGTTGCATGTGCAAGGAACAGTAGTGAGAACCAAATCTTGTGTAGCTGATGGGTGAAGTGAATTCTTTGTAGTCCTAGATTTGATTTCTTACAACGAAAGTGAAATACAAAATCACTGAGGTTTTATCTTTTGTCTCATGCTGGTTGATTGATTCAGGGTCGATATGTGATAATTGAGAACAGTCACAAGGATCCAAAGGTCACAAAGGATGGTGTTACTGTTGCGAAAAGCATTAGTTTCAAGGGAAAGTACAAGAATGTGGGTGCTGATCTTGTGAAGCAGGTTGCTAAAGCTACTAATACTGCTGCAGGAGATGGTACTTCTTTCTCAAATCTATCTCATAAACATAACTAAATTTGAGGTTAAGGAATAAGCCTCCTGACTCAGGGACTTCACTTTAGTTGCACAATGGAAGCTCAAATGTCAAAATTGGTCATGTAAATTAAAATATTAAAGTCTTTCTCGGAGAGGTGTTGATCATCTTATTCCAGGTACGACTTGTGCAACTGTCCTGACTCAAGCAATACTCACAGAAGGTTGCAAGTCAATAGCTGCTGGGGTAAATGCAATGGATTTGCGCATTGGTATCAATATGGCAGTTGATGCTGTTGTTTCTGATCTGAAAAGCAGAGCATTGATGATAAGCACACCAGATGAGATTACACAGGTGATGTGACTTCTTGGAAAAAAAATGTTGAACTCCTAAACCATATTATACAGATCTTCCTAAGAGGACAGGAAATAGATGGGGATGTACTTTTAAAAAGCTCTTTAGTTTTGGTAATTGATAAAATCTTCTTCCTATAAGTTCAGTGAAAGTTGTGCTCTTAATCAGTCTCGTTAACTACACTTTATCTTGTATGACGGGTCTTTCCATAGAAACATGAGAGCAGTGCAGCCTTTCGAAACATGTTGAGGGTATTATTATAGTTTCTCCATTGAAATACCAATTAAAGCTTAGGTGGATGGTTTGAAGTGTTTGTTCTCATGCATATTGTTGATTGCTCTGACTGGATTTTCATATGACAAATAAGTTGCACTACATGTCTGAATCATTGTTTTATTGGACATTCTGGCTTGAATAATATTGTGAAATAGGTTGCTACTATTTCTGCAAATGGTGAACGAGAGATTGGAGAGCTGATAGCAAGAGCAATGGAGAAAGTGGGGAAGGAAGGAGTCATTACTGTTGCCGTGAGCATTTTTTTATTTTTATTTTATAAATTGTTATGTTTGACAAACATGTGGGTTGTTTGTTATGGTTCCTGAAATTTTCATATTTTTGTAGGATGGGAATACTTTGGATAATGAATTGGAAGTGGTGGAAGGGATGAAGCTAGGCAGAGGCTACATTTCTCCTTACTTTATCACTGACCAAAAGACTCAGAAATGTGTAAGTTCAGATATTTGCTGTAAGCAGAAATGTGGATTAGTTCCTATTCCTAATTATGATACAACAAAGTCAGCACTAAATATTTGCTAATGGATTATTGTGAACTTTTGCTTGTCTGTATATTCCTTAAAAAGAAAATTTACTTTTTTTAAAATTATCTCTTAGCACCAGAGGTTCTGAAAATATCTCAACCTGGCCATATTTACCCTATTATTCAAGTACTTAACTTTGGTCTTGGACTCTTGTGACGGTCCTGTTCATGTAGTTGCTTATGTATTCTCGTCTTTATTGAGTTGAAGGTTTATGCATTATCTATCTTGTCATCAGTTTATATATCTGTGATTCTGTGGTCATTTTGTGTTTGTTTCTGCCATAGTTTTGAGGCTACTCAATTGTAAACTTTTGTAAAAAGTAACATGCTTTCTTTATTGTTTTTTCTTCTTTCCTTCGTGCTTGATCTTTATTTCACCAGTGTAATCTCTTAACTTATAATTTAATTTGACCTGTAATATGGAAGTTACAATTTTCATGTCTGCAGGAACTGGAAAACCCACTGATTCTCATTTATGAAAAGAAAATTTCAGACCTGAATTCACTTGTGAAAATACTAGAGCTGGCAGTAAACGTAAGTAGCATGTTTCTGATTGTTTACCTTTAATGTTCAACGGTGAGTAAATAATCATTTGAAATATGGATAAGATAT